CTCCTTCATCCTTACACACCAGGGGAGGAGCACAGGGCTGTCCAACACAAAAGATTTCATAGCAAGGCAAAACAAAATAGAAAAAGGAAATGGGGCAGTTGTACATCTTTCAATTGTTGGAGAAGGAAATGGATGAAATGGGGAAATTAAACACTTAAGTAGTCATTCACAAAACAATCCCACTTTGAGACTGTACTTTAAAAATTCTGAAAATGAACCACAGGGCTTACTGTGCTCAGGGCTGGCAGCAATATTGCTTGGGCTCAGCTAGTGGCAGCTGCTTGCCTGCACATTGATAGTTCTGCTGCAAGTTTATCAGTTCTCCAGTGAGAAGTTACTTGCTCCAAGGAAAGCAAAAGATAGGCAAGTGGTGTATGGGTGGCAAGCTGAGATGGTTTGGAGCAAATCTATAAAGGCAGCAGAAATGGTGCTTCCTGTACAGCCTCAGAAGGTTGTGCTGCCAGGTGTTACAAGGAGCAGCCCAAAACACTATCAAAAGCATCCAGTGAAATAGATTTAAATAAAATTATTTTTAAGATAAGCTAATTAATGCTTTGTAACCAGCCTGTTCCAAAGAAACCTTTTGATTAAATTGCTTATTCATTAAAGACAACAATCAAAAGGGTACAGAGCAAGGACTTAGAGAGTTCTGATGAGCTGGACACATGCAGTAGCTTAATAAATCTACTAATCTACTTGTCTACCAGTCCACTTGGGCAGTACACTACCTAATGGAGCACCATTAATGCTCTAGTCTCTGAGAACACACATTATTCTCTTGTCAACGTTACCAGGTGTTACATGCTCGTATCATTCACAGAATGAACTCCTTGGTGCACATCTGCAAATTTTCTTTGAATATTGTTAATAGTTTCTCTTCTGAACACATTTTGGGCAACAGGATGAGCCCCATGAGGATGGGGGAGCCTTACATGGGAGAAGTGTAATTAAGAATATGTTTTTCTAAGTTCATGCACTCAATTTTGAGCTGGGGCAAACTCTTATGCCTTCACTAGCTTCAATGTTCACACAAGGTGGTGGCATTATAATTTCAAATACTTCTTCAGTAATTTCTACTTATGGCAGAAGCCTGAAGAAAAGCACACTAGAGATGGAGTATGCCATCAGAAAAGGCAGGTTCCTTGCATACAGATGAGCCTTCATATCACAAAATTTTTAAGGGCCTGTGGCTTGGATGGAAAAGTTAGAAGTATGACCCTCAGGCAGTAGGGCAGATGCTTATTTTAAGGATTCACTCTAAGGAAGCAAATCTGTCTTTAAAGAAGTTGATGAAATAAAGATCAAATTTGAGAGAATAACATCTAAGGAAAAAGAAACTATTCCTCTTCTGCTAGATATATCTTCAGCAGAAGTCAGACCACATATTATGTCCACCAATTAATGTCCTACAAGATCCAGATCCTGGACATCACCCCAAGTCTTAATTTCGGAAGACAATGAAGTTCTTCCCATGTTTGGTGGCTTGTATTAATCCCCAAACTCTTGTAGTCCAGATAGCAGCCAACTTCTTACTTCAACTAATAATCATCCACCAGCTGTCCAACGTGTTTACACCTCATTTTTATGTTTTTTTATGTTTATATATTTTTTTTATGTTTTTTTATATATTTTTTTTTTGTTTTTTTTTATGTTTTTATATTTTTATGTTTACACCTCATTTTTATGGAAGTAAAAGATGCGGTCCTCCTCCTTTGTCTGCCATAAATCTTGAACAAGGATAAGCTAGGGAGAATCCACCTTCCAGGGGTTAATCATACCTGACAAGATACTGAACACGCTCTGCCAAAAGACAGAGAGGGACACATTCAGCTATGCTGGACTGGACTGGAACAAAGCATGAATCAAGTTGAAGTTGCTAAGGCATCCTTCTGGTTGCTATGGCATGTGTACTGTTATGAATATTTAGTTCTGGTTTATTATTTTTCAAAGGATTGGCTTAGTTTGTGTAACATAAACTATCAGCCATTAGAAATAAGCTCTGTTTTTTCCAGTTCCTCCTCCTTTCTGAAATGGGTAACATTTGTCTTTATTGTCCAGTCTTGGACTGTCTCACACTTATCTTCTTGCATGTTTTTGTGCTTCTGCAGAGAATAGGATTTAAAATGGTCGAGAGCAGTCCATGCAGTAATTCATTTCTATTTGTTAAACTTACCACTTCTGCACAACAGAATCCTTTTGAGATGTACAACTGTTTGCCATAAAAAGTAGATGCTTTAAAAAGCATAAAACTTCCTATGATCCATACAGTTTTGCTCATAGGTATTTCCAATAAAATGATTGTACAGACCATCAAACAGATTTTGTGGATTTCCCTGGAGTGGCATTGAACCCCATTTGAATGCAAGTAGGCTGTGTCCTGCTAAAAGCTGTAATTTTTTTGGAGTACAACTCCACTCTGAAAAGCAATGGCCTCATGTGGCTCCTAGTTTACCGTGCCTCATTGTCTCTATATTAAAATATCTCAGTTCAGAAGCAAAATAATTACCTTTTTTTTTTTTTTTTTAAAGCACTGTAAGACCACATAAACTCAGCCAAACTCACTACACTAAGGCCTGAGCTCTTCCACACTAGCATGTTAACACTGGTTACACAGGCCCTCACTATATGTCTGTGTACCTCCAACGTTCCTCTGAAACGCCCAGGTCTGCACAGCTTCTGGCTCGGCTGCCCTGCACAGCCTCAGCTGGCAGGAATGGGCAGACACTGCTGGGAGTGAGACACAGACAAGGCAGAGCAGGGAACTGCTGATCCTGCCCTGCCATCTCCACCTCCACAGGGCTCTGCCCAGGGTTCCTCTCCTCTGCCAAGATGCTGATTTGTATGAAACCTATGAGAATAAAATCCTCTGGGAAGCCCTTGGGAAGCTATCGTTGAGGATGGCCAGTGGCTCAAAGCCAGCCTTGTGGTGAGGGGAGGACAAGCCAGGTGGGTCAGCTGCAACCCATGCCCTTGGGAAAGCCTGACTCTTCTGCTCCTCAAACACAAGCGAGCCAGGCAGGACACACTGCAGCAACCAGACCTTCTGGGCTGAAGGAGCACTGCTTGGCAGCCTCACTACCCCATGGGTCCTTCTCACACCCCAGCTCATGGTGCTGCACATCAGCAGCTTGTCCAGCTGTGCCCATGACCTTCAGCATGGCTCAATAAACCTCAGCATCCTCCTGCCCCAATACCTTGCTGTCACTCCAGCAAGAAAGTGTGGTTGTACGACATGGGATTTAAAAATATAAATAAGATCACAGAAATTACTGGGAGCTACCAACAGCGACATGAAACCTCACACAAGACAGAAAACCCTAATTATAGTTTCTGAACCTATGAAGTCACCTAATACACATATGTTCCTCTACGCTGCAAGGAGAAAAAAGGACACATGAAGTACTTATTACCATTCTCATAAGAAGAAAAGAAAACAATACTTCGGAAGCTTTTCCCAATCTACAATTTAGAAAATCTGCATAAATCTAGAAAATCAGCTCTACTTCATAAAAAAAAAAGGCAGTACAAAATCTTTGGGTTTAATTGTAAATGCAATAGTATTAATTTTACAGTGACATGCAGTATTTCAAGTCTTCATACTGTTTGTTTTTATTGTTTTTGTGGATCAAAGTTACCAAACACTGATCTGAAAAATATCTGATATCTCTCCTAAATACCCTAACTGAGGAATCTGAGGTAAGGAAGGAAGGAAGACGGCACACTTACTGATTCAAGCATCATCAAAAAATGACTAATGAGATAACAGTTCAAAACCAAAATTAAGCTTCTTCTTTCTCTCCTAGCATTGTATAAAATCAACAGCAGTAAAAAGTACAATTTCATTCACAAGTGAAGGATGTGGCTGCACCCCCATATTCTTAGTAGAGGGAAAATACTGAGAAAGGAAATGCCATTTTTACATAATCATGTCTTAAAACAGAGCTGCACTCTCTAATCCATCCTGGACAGTGCAGAGGTTACTGATAACAACAAAATGTTGCATTCAAATAATTACGGGTGAAGAATTTAAAAATATTCCAATCCTACTTGGCTAGAAATTATTTTAAATTTTACATTATTTCACAGTTCTGTGATAAAAAGTCTTCTTATTTGCTTGAGACAAGACTTCAGAAAGCCTTAGACAGAGCAGATTTTCTTAAATTAGCTTGAAAATTCAGTTTCCAGGGCAACGTATGCAGGTCTTCATACATCAACATCTCTTTGCACCATTTTTACAAATATGGTTCCTTGCTAGAATATCATAAAATATTTTTCAAATACAGTAAACTATTTTGACCTCTTTGATCCTTTTTTTTTTGCCTTTCAAAAAAGCTGACTGTCCTTTCTTTTCAGAAGAATCTTATCAATAACATTGTAAACTGTTCTCCTTCAGAGAGGTTTTATCATAGAAATGCTTGCAGTGACACCCATGCGTGTAATAGATCTCTACCAGCACCTGAGTGCTTATGTAACATTTCAGTAGGCATCCCTTATTCATCACCCCTTTTCTTACCTTCTTTTCAGTTTGCAAGTAGGACACATGACTTAGGGTCTCTGGCATGGTGGGAGTCTACTGGTTTACATATAAAATTAACCTGAATGTCTATTTCAGAGCAGTAACATGAAATTTGCTGATGCCCATTAAGATCCTCAGCGACTTTCTCACACCTACCAATACACAGAATAGTATAAAAGGAATAAAACTAATTATGCATCTATCTTTTTCATCCTCCATTCTAAAAGGGTGGGGAAAAAAAAAACCCTTAATGATGACTACTGTTTCCTCTCCATGAGTCCTTGAGAAGTGCTTTGTGTAACTCCAGTGAGTTACTGAAACAGATACCTGAAAACATCAGCAGCAGAGTGGATACACTTCCTTCTTCCATTTAACAGGGGCCTGATTGGAACCCTGCCCCATGGTGTTATGGTGGAGAAGGCAACATGTTACATAGCTACAACACCAGGATTGTCTTCGGAAAAGAAGATAGAACAACTGTTACCTGCACATTTTACTCCCTGAGCAATGAGGCCCCACATGAAGTTGGCACAGTATTCACACCAGTGTGGGCCTCTGAACGTGTGCACCTGGAAGAGAGCAGCAGAAAGAAAAGTTACAAAAAATGACCCAACTATTTCACAGTATCAATGTGTCTCAACAGGGCAGAATTCCTCTTCTTAGAAGGCACCACATGCAGTTGCTGGAAGCTTCCCTTTATCACTGCAGGAAAGGAAGAAAGGAACTAAGAAAAATTTAAGAACCAAGACTCTTGCAGACTCATGGAAAACAGGAGTTCTCCATCCTAGGCCATCCAGAGCAGCAGAACTGGGTCTGTAGGGGTCTGCTCCAAGACCAGATAGGGCAGAGAAGCAATGGCTGGGCAGAGCCCTTCTCCTGCCTCTCGGCATCCCTCTGTCTGAGCAGGATTTTGGCCACAAGGCGAGGCTTTTGCAGCAACCATGCAAGAGTTCACCTTTCAATTTAAAATGTCTTCTTCCTTCCATAAGGTACTGTGTGAAATGCGTAGGGGCTGTAAGATTTCACCTCAGGTGGAGGGAGTCCTGCCAGGCAAAAATACCAGTGCCACACAGAAATACTGCAAATGTGCTTAGAGACTTTCTGGTTTAGAATAATTCTAAAAGGAAATTAATTCTTTTCAGACTAAGGCTACATATTGAAAATCCAAAATGGAAAAAAAGAATCCACTGAACCAGGAAAAAAACTAATCTAAAGAAGGAAAAACACCCGATGCTGCTTTCATTCCTGGCTCACATGCTTGTTACAAATCCTGCAGCCACCATTAACTGTTTCTGATTTTATTTTGATAAAGTTCCTGCTGTAGGAAACCACAGGATTCTTTACAGAGAAAATCATTACTTCCTTAGCCAGTGTAAAAGGCTTTGAGCTGCTATTTAGAATAGACAGGCTGACAAAAAGAATCAGTAACTGATGATCATAAAGAAATGAAATTTGCAGTGAAACACAGTAAAAATGCTTTAGGCTTAAGTCACTTGGTTCTCCAGAGTTACTGTGCGGGTATTGGAGCGGGCATAACCTCACACTTGTGCACTGCCTGGCTGGATCAGTGTGGAGCAGAAGAGAGATGGAGCTGGTGGAAATGTGCGTTCCTAAAATCCGCACAGGGCTCTGGTTATAAATACCAAAAGGTGAAATAGCCTGACTGAGGTCCAAGGGTCGCCCACACCACTGACATAAGAGGCAGCTGGATCCCAGCTGATACTTGCCCCAACCAAGTGACAACCCAGAGCAATTCAGACCACATTTCAGGTTTGGCTAAAGGAAGGTCTGCAGCCTCCTGTGCATTTGCTGCCTCCAGAGCAGCAGTAAGGTAGATTGCTGTGACAGCCAGTTACCTGTGAAGTCACCAAGTAATTCACATGCCCCTCTTGCTAAGCTGGGCTTCCGACTGCCTCCACGGAAGCATAATGGTGCAAAGCGAGGCGGAGGCTGCCTCCCCCGGCCCTGCCTGCTGCCGTCCGCACCCACTGCCACGTGCCTTTGGGAGGTGCAATGTGCTCCACCAGCCCTCTGCTCCCTGCAGCTCCAGCTGACTTCTGCAAAGCAAATGATGACAAGATTGTCGGCAGCTGTAAGCTCCACTTTCTTTTTTCCTCTCACCACAAAGCCATTTTTCCACAACTTTCTCTCCATTTCCCACCTGCACTACCCACATCCTCTTGGCTTTATTCCTCAGTCTTGTGTTTTTTATTCAGGTCTTTGGCAGTATTTCCTTCCCAGAATACGAACATTCTAATATCCTCAAGCAAAACACTGTTTTTAATGTCTGCAGGACTAAGAACTTTTTCAAGGGAAAAAAAGCACCTCATTTCAGTTACCATCTTTTTTTTGGGAGGAGGACTGTGTCAAAGTAACATTCCCCTCAAACCCCACTTATTTAAAATATTCTCAATAATTCTGTTGAGGAATATTGAAACAAAAAGTGACATTTCAAAAGTCTGGACAACAAATAATTTCTTTTCAGAACACTTCTCAGTTTTATAAGTTTTTTTGTTTTATTTTGGCTTTAGTATCTCTGATTGCAAAGGGGAGGGATTTTGTCTCGTTCCTTGAAATGATGACATTTTGACTTCTTTCTTTAGGCAGAACAAGAACAAATTCTGACACATTAATATTTCTCGCTAAATAAAAAGAATTATACTATCCTACCCTATACCTCTCTGGTTGCTGATTTCAATTCATCAAATTCACCAAACGTGCTATTTGCTGAAGCATTTCTAATGCTGTCCTTAGGTGCTGAGGTCCTAACATGGCCTCTCCAGAGCTGTCTCCAGCATTGATACTCACTAAACCTCAGATGTCCAGTCTCTTAATTGGCTGTTGTTTGAGCAGTGAACATCCTTCCTCCTTGGCATCTTGCTCCCCACCATGGTCTGCATGCTTCCACTTCCTCCTGACTCTCCTTAGGAACTCTTCAGCAGAGTCTATCACATCCCAAATCTGCCACTCCAATCTTTTGCCTCCATTTATATTATTATGACCTTTTCGTATGACCTAAGTTTCTCTTATGTGTCTAATAACTATGATCCACCTAGATACAAACAAAAAATTACCTTTCTACCACAACCAGTTCCCCTAACAATACCCTGGCTCTCAGCTCACCCCTCAAAAGGGCTTACATGACTCATCATCAACTTAAAAATGACAAGGACAAAGCAGACTTTCCTTTTCCCTACCAACACTGCATGTATTGGTCATCCTTCACAAGACCAGGATTAACTTTGCCCTTCAGGACCACTGTTTCAGCATCATTAGCACTGTTCTCTCATCCCATGCAGCCAGGCTTCATCCAAATATTGAAATGCCTTTCCATATTATCAGTGAGAAGATTTATCCAGAGCCTGCTCTGCTTTATGCTGCCCCATCCAAATTACTTCTTCTCATCCATTATTCTGATTGCAAACTCAAACAGATTAAAAGGTGAAGGTAGGCTTTTCTGTGTCCCATAATGCTCTACTTTGCTTCATCCTTTATCTGACATGCAACAGGGAGGTTCTCTGGCAATATTAATCAGGAGGCCCAAAGGTCATGTTGTCCTTCCACCCCTGGTGTACACAACCCCGCAAGAGCAGCTCTGAAGTCTCTTTTGGGGTTTCTAAGCAGTGTTGTCTTTTCCCAGAGCTCAGTAGTGCCAGAGCATCAATCTTCCCACTACCATGGACTGGAACTGGACAGCTAACCCTGCACTTGTCTGAATACACGCCATCTCTGGGAATTTAATCAGATACAGTAAGTGATGCCAGAAAATACTGAAAAATTGGTCTTCCGAGGTCATAACAGACTAATCATAGTTCTTCCTGGAGGATGGGGCCTGGCAGCATGCTGAAAAAAAACACCTTAGCATCCCTTAGCCAGTTCAAGAGCCAGCACCTGCAAACAATACTGCATTTACTACATGATACAGTTTAATACAGCATTCTGATTTTTATATTTAATTCCCCACTCTAAAAACCTGCCAAGCAACTTGCTTGCTTTCAAAACTTAAAGATGCTTTCCAGAAAATTTTCTAAAAACACACCCAGCAGAGTCCCAGAGATCCTGACTTAAATTACAAGAGGTTTCTTTCTCCTTATAAAAAGAGCATCTGCCATATGCAGATTTTACTGTCTTATAAAATGTGAGAAAGCAGGATTGCCAACTGTGGCTTTATATCTCCCAATCCTTCCATTCTCACTCCCACCCAAAAATCTTCTCTCTCTTTCCATAAGGCTTCAAATGGAAGTGATTTTTTTTTTTTAAGAATCTGGAAAATGAGTGAGTGGGAGAACAAGTTTAACTAGTTTTAATTTTAATTTATAAAATTCCAAGGGAAAAAAATAAATTTAAAAGAAAAGTCTAGATAATTTTAAAGCACAATACCCAATTCAAAAACTAGACAAAAATACTATTACTAAGCTGTCCTGCAAATTTGAGGTAAGAGGAGAGCCTCACACTGGGTTTACACCTAGGCATTTCTATTTTGAAGTCTCCTGCAATATCAGCAAGGTATAATAAGCATTTAACTACTGTGATCTAAGTAGGAGAACAGTTTTTTGCTTAGGCTTGAAAGATATTTTCTTATACAAAGGGGAAAATAGCTTAACTCCTGTGATTAATTACTGTGTTACAGAATTTCACTTACTTTTGTTTCACATTTAATTAAAATATTTCTTAGAAAAGACAAATTTTTAGGAGAATCAAATAAAAAATGATCCAGTGGCTCTGACAACAGATTATCCCACAAGCTGTGAACTCCTCAAGCAGAGCTCTCATCATTATTTCTCAAGCTCTATTAAGGTCACTGTTGAAGTTAGTTATCCATGTATAACTACACTTATTTTTTACATTTTTGGGTTTTCCTAGGCAGTTATTCAGCTACTCTTGATTGCTATCTGAAAATCAAGAATGAGGCAGCAAATAATTCATACTCTTAACTGGGAGACTTATATGAGTTGTCAAGGCAAGGAGGAAGAGAACGAGGAACTATCAGCAAAGTGCTGTGCAAATGTGATATGAGAGAAGTCAGTGAATCAGCAGAGCTTAAGCCACTGATGGGAAGAAGCAGGGCTGGATTTGAAAAACTATGGTTATGGAAAATCAACACTGAGCACAAAAACCAGAAGTGTTTGTGACAGTATACAAAAAAGCCTTCCATTGCTGAAAGGCTGCTGCCATGGTCTCCCTGAAGGCTTGCTCCATCAGGACCCTGCTCTGTACAGAGCATCTCTTTCACAGCTCTCCACACTGAACTGCTGGTCAGAGTAACAGGGTCTGGAAAATCCAGGCACTATCATCTATGTTGGGGTGAAATACATCAACTTGAAAAAGGATGGAAAAAAATACTGCCGATCTACCCTCTTGGGCTACCAGAGTCCTACACTCCAGGCAGAAGGCTTGCTGGTGCTCAGAGAGGAGACCAAGTCGACCAGGGACTGAATACATGGCACGCACCCAGCTTTGCACCACATGGTGCTCCAAAGGTACAGTTCTGCTGGCTATACTGTCTTTTAAACAAATTCCCAAGGATGATGGGACATTGCTGATGGAGACTGTCAGCTCAGTGATCCTA